ATATTAACCTACTGTGATACTTATAGCATAAATGCTAATTGATAACTATCTCCAGCTTCTGTCTGTGCTTTGTTATGCAACGTGCTAGTTCACCTGAGGGCTACGTTCAAGCAAAAGTGTCTTCTGTGGCTGCTCAGTTGATGAAAAGGGGCTGGTAGGTTGAACACACTGTTTCATTCACACATGCACACACCTACATATATGTATGGTGTATGTATATTTGTATGCAATTATGCATGCATGAAGAGAAGATTTAATATATAAAGTTTTGTTCCACATCTTAAACATGGTGTTGATACGGGATACTGCATGGACATAGGTGCTATTTCGGATTAAATTATGAAATCTGTTTGCTTCTTTGACTATCTTCTTTTTATATTGCTTTGTTTCTTGAATTAATTATATTCTAAGAATTTGTTTAAAAGAGATGTTTAATGGGGCAAACTGCAAATTGAATTTTGGTGCTTATTGATATTTGAATCTTGTCATTTGTTGATGAATTTATTTTTCAGTAAAAGAAAATTAGTTCATTAATATCTCTTCATTAGGGGATAGCTGTTTGTTGCTCGACTATTGTAATTTGATTTTTTAGAATCCTATTTATCTTGCACCATCTTTGCTCCTTTGCAATCTAGGTCCCTTGTCCTGCTCTTGTGCTGGCCTCATTCCTTCCATACACGTGAATGGAAATTACATTGATTTTTGAGGTTGTTATGCTGGAAGTTTGTAATCCATAATTTTTTTAATACATTACATTCTTTGTTTTCACCAATCAATATTTCATCTTTTCATTTTGTGGAATGCTTTCATTTAATTCCTCACAATGCTCATATAAAATGAGAACATTGTAATTATTTTAGCAAATATTTTACATCTAGGCTTGATTTTGCGGCAGCTGAAAAGGAGGCATTTTTTTATCAGGTATCATTGTCATTTTAATTATCCTCCACCATCTTCCCTGCTGTAGTTATTTAGTGATTCAACTCTATATATTCTTCTTTCTTGTAATATTTTATTCAGTATCTTTTACTTGTTAACTTGGTAATTTAATGTTGGCCAAAAGAACTTTAGTACTTGTATTAGGGCATAATCCATGCTGCCCTCACTCCTTCCCTCTGCCTTGTGCTGATAAATTCATTTATATGGACATGAATCAAAATAAGACTGGTTTCCTTTTTCTTCCTCTTTACCTCCATCCTTCAACAAAGAAAAGAGGGAAACTGGGAAGGAATCCTAGTATGCCACAGAATTTTGTGCAAATGCAGATTGTTACTTTATCGAGGCAGGGTTTATTCTTTTGCAGTAGTAAGTTTTAGAGTTGCCTAATTTTTATTGATGGTCGATCAATCTGAAGAAGATGATCAATCACATAAAAAACTACTCCATATATAAGAAATATGTTACATTTAAATGATTAATGAATTACTTGTAAGGTTGTTTCATTTCTACCTCCAAGTGCAAGGTGGCTTGCATATTCTTCTTTTAACCCAAATTTTAATGAATCAATAAGAACTGAACTTTAAGACTCTGATTTCCATACATGTATACGCAGCATTATTCTTGACAAGTCTGTATATTGACTAAAGAACTTTAGACCATTAGGTAGTCTACAAGATAGGATTAAACTCATTAAGTCTGATTGACTTTTTAAAGTGAGTGAGGTCAACAGGTTTCTGCTTCATTGCCATTCTGGTAAGAAACAATTCCAACAGACCAAACCCACCAACCCTGGGTGAAGCCTTGCCCGATGCCCATGGGACTAGTTGGACTTGAGGCCCAGATACCTGTGTTATCCAGAAAAGAAGTAGCTCATTAAATGACTCAGAAAATGTTAGTTTACAAGGAATTAAATATATACTCCTGGTTCTTTCTTAGTTCACTAAAAGATTGTTCTATTGCTTTACATATGAGCTGTGTAAAAGTCTGACTCAGTTTGATTAAGAAGATGCAAAGCTAAAGTCGTTGTCTAATAATTTAATCTTCCAAAGAAATCTTTGGCAGTCATGTTTCCAATTTGATTTAGGAAATTACTCTTGAAATTTCACTTTTTTTTTTTTTTGAAATTTCACACTATATATGTGTAAAACCAAACAGAAAATTGAGTTTTATAATGAATATTTAAATGATCTTGTGATTCTCTTTCATTTTTTGACGTCCCTGTTGCTCTACCTCTTTTAAAGGGAGGTTTTATTCTTGTTGAGTTTTAGACAAAATTGGCATCTTAATGGTGTGACTAATGCAGGTAAACCAGGCCATTATTGGTATTCATGGGGTTGATGTACAATTCATTGGAATAAATTTCTTGGAATCTTTGGTATGTGTTGCCTTTTCAATTTTCCTTCTTATTAGTCTTTGCTGCACATGTCAATCTCGTAACTGTCAATCTCGTAACTTCTTAGTCAATTATTTCCTCCTTTCAGGTTTCTGAATTTTCACCCTCTACATCGACTGCAATGGGTCTTCCAAGGGAGTTCCATGAGCAGTGCCGCACATTATTGGAGCTGGACTATTTGAAGGTTCTTTTAGTTTCTGATTACCTCCACTCACATTCTTATTCTCCTCCATGAATAGTTTGCTCGCCCTTGTTTCTTTTACCTTGTTCTTTTTCCAGTCCTGACTTTGTCCAATTCATTTTGATGTTATATAACTCGTAGACATTCTACTCTTGGGTACGAGATGCTGCTTTAGGTGTTACAAACAGGATAATTGAATCTGATGCTGAGATACCTGAGGTTAAAGTTTGTACTGCCACTCTACGTCTCATGCTTCAAATCCTGAGCTGGGATTTCCGAAACGATTCAAGTGGCATGAAAACTGGTATTAATGTTTTCTCAGCCGGAGTTAGACCTGACAGTGAATCTAAGCGGTCCGAATGTATCTTGGTGCAGGTAATAAAGTTATCCTAAAGTTTCTGAAATTAGTTGCATGAGGTCTCATTTGGTTTGAAGCATTTACTGGGAAGATGGGTTTTTGTGGTTGCATAACCGTAGTAAATAACTGTAAATATTACTGTCCACAAGACCATTTAGAGAGTTCCAGTTAAAAGAATACGATCTACCAAATTTAGTAACATAATTTCCTGTTTCCTGCTTGTCTAATTACATTTTTCTAAAACAAGTAGATCTGATTCTTTTGATTTTGCATCCTATCAGATTGTGTATATTTACTACATTCTCATTCTTTGGTTCTCTTTATGCTGTTTGTGTAGCCTGGGCCAGCATGGCGTGATGTTTTAATTTCAAGTGGCCACATTGGCTGGCTTTTAGGCTTGTATGGAGCACTGAGACAGAAGTTCTCCCGTGATGGTTATTGGATTGACTGCCCTATAGCTGTCTCTGCCCGAAAACTAATTGTACAATTTTGCACTTTGACAGGAACCATATTTCCGTCAGGTATGTGTCTCGTCCACAACTCTTTAACTTGATTATTACATATTTTATTATAATATAAAGTAGCTTTATGTACACTGCCTCTGTAGGAAGATTTTTTCTTATGTTCACCTAACGTATCTCTCCAAACAATTTTTTGTTTCTTTTCGTAAGTAGTAGTGATCTTTCTGGTAATTGAGTATTCTAGATAATGCATCTTAACAACAGTCGCATAATGTTACAGATGTTCGTGTTTTGCTTAAAAATAACCCATTTTAATTTTACTAGCTTTTTCGTTATGCATGACGGTTTGACTAGAAACCACTGTTGTCAATAGTGGTTGCTATGATGAATAGGGACACCATAGCCACTATAGTGGCCACTATTGTCTTACGTGACTTCTAAACTCTATCTTATTGTGTTGTTGTCTCGGTAACTTGTTGATTGTTATGACTTTATTTGCTTGAGAATATTATGTGTGATTTTTTATCATTTTTATAAGCTATTAGGTTTTTTATGCCTTTTTCCTACTAGGTTTATTTTTTATTTTATATAATAAATTTATAATTTTTTTTAATGGCCACTATTTTTTTAAATAGCGGTTGCCATTCTATCCCCAATGAATTCATAGTGGATTTTGGTTTTTCCTCTATTGTTTAAACTTGAAGGTATCTCATATGTTCTCCTATTTAAGTGTCTAGTCATGATAGCTGGTTGAAATAATCAGTTATGGCCTCTGGATATTATGTTTGGTGAGTTTAAGGTTAGATTTGATTTGATGAAAGTATGGTATAGATTTTTTAGAATGGTAGAGGAATATTTTGAAGAGACACATTGGGATAAAGAAAATTTAGGAAAACACTTTAACTGATCAATTAACTTAATTATTTTGATATTTTAATGTATATACTATCTGCACTATTCCCTGGTTAAGAATTAGCTTTGTTCAATAATCTAGATGATGGGCAAATGCAAGAGCATCATTTATTGCAACTTCTATCTGGGATACTAGCTTGGATGGATCCTCCTGATGCTGTTTCACAAGCCATTGAAAATGGGAAAAGTGAAAGGTTGGTTTCCTTTAAGTTGCCCTCTTTTCCATTAGTTCTATGCCTTCTATGTAAATCACAGAGTTTGTTGGTTTTGTTCAGTGAGATGCTTGATGGCTGCCGTGCATTGTTGGCAATGGCATCTGTAACAACACCTATCCTTTTTGACCAACTCTTGAAATCCATAAGGTTAGTAATATTTTGTTATTTGTTAAGTGTTTATGTTTCTTTTTAGTGTACATTCAAGTATTCTTGAAAACCTTTTGGTTTTTTCCCTTGATTTCCAGGCCTTTCGGCACTCTTACCTTGCTGTCCACCTTGATGTGTGAAGTTGTTAAAGTTCTTATGATTAATTTCACTGAGGATGAGCCTTGGAGCTGGGTGGCAAGGGATATCCTGTTAGACACCTGGACTGCATTACTTGTGGTATTTTATCATTGCTAGCTTATTATAATTTTGGTTTGTTACTTGCAAAGCAAATCTGTTTTGTTGCCTGCATTCACAAATTATTATATATTAATTCATTTCAGTATATTGATAATGTATTTTGAGGTTATATTTTTGCTACTACTCATTCAGATAGTGAGTGCCCTTGTTTAGTGGTGCCAATCAAATTAAACTTTTGTTCCAAATCTTCTCAGCCCATGGATAGTACAGGTGGGATTCCATTGCTTCCACCTGAAGGGAAACATGCTGCAGCTAATCTTTTTGCCTTGATTGTAGAGTCTGAGCTAAAAGGTGATAAAGATAACTTGCTGGCATTCTTTCTTTGTTATGGTTTTTCATATATATTTTATTTCTTGTACTTGAAAATGCTGTAACTAGTGATGATGATGATGCTAGCTACGTTCAGGCTAATCACTTTATTTATTTATTTTATTTTACTTTTTGGGGTTGTTATAGTGGCTTCTGCAACAGCAGCCTATGATGATGATGATGCTAGCTACCTTCAGGCTTCCATTTCTGGTATGGAAAGAAGTCGCTAGAACTTGCATTTATGAATTTCTTCAGAATTGCTATTCCGTTGCCATTCTTCTTATCGTCCATTCCATGCTCAATGAATATCTTAATCATGTTTTGTTGAAGCCATGGATGAGAGGTTAAGTTCTTATGCTCTCATTGCAAGAGCAGCAGCAGATATCACAATCCCTTTACTCACAGGATTTTTTGCTGAGCGGTTTGCACAACTTAATCAGGTGATCTTGCTTTTCATTATCTTGGAAATATTATCTATAGAAACAACTATGGATCTGGTGCTATGTAGTTTAATTTTATTATGAGTTGAATAATGAATGAGATGCTAATTTTCAACTTAAATGCGACTTGAAATTGATAGAGCTGTTTATTTCAATTAAGTTAAAATCCCTTTAAATAAAATCCAAGTTCATTATTGGTCTAGATAGATATTGTTCAAAAGAACAGACATGAACGTCCTCAGTCCTCAGCAAGAGATGGTTCAGAAAACTGACAATTGAAACTTATAAAAATGTTAATAATATGGGTGATTAAATGTCAATTGACACGATTTTTTGGATAATCAAATGAAGCTTTCTGTTCTATGAATATATTTGCTCATTTTCTAAGTTCTTGCTTGTAGGGCAGGGGCATTAGTGACCCGACTGAAACACTGGAAGAACTTTACTCACTGCTGCTGATTTGTGGTCATGTACTTGCTGATGAAGGGGAGGGAGAAACACCTTTGGTAATTCATTATTTCCTTTCTGCTTATTGGAAATAAATAAATAAATAACTTATGTGAATTGCCTGCAATATTTTGTATGTCACAATGTTACAGTACATTCATCATTTATTTTTGGCATATTAAATATCCCGGACTCTAACTGATTTCCCTTGAAGAAGTTGTTGGCATTTATGGAACTGTGACTATAATCATAGTTTTTTTTTTTAACATGTTCACGGTTTCCTCAAGCTAAACAACGGGAAAAGAATGGTATAGTCCCTAGAACTTTGGTGAAGAGAGACGAATTGAGCATTGGATAAGTTCCTATTATGATGAGGTACACTTTGGAAAGTAAGATGAATTGACTATTGGGCCGATTTCTCCAGGACATGGGAATGATATTATGTTTTTTGATTTGAGGGTATGAGACTTTAACAGAATAAGTCACATTATGGTAATGTTGACAGTGAATTCTTGATCCATGCTAGGGTTGCTAGTTTGGGAACAGTCTGTAAATAACAATGGCCTGTGTACTGATTAACAACTGTTTCACCTAGGGGTCTTTTAAATTTTTCCCAAAGAAAATTTGATTTAAATATTTTTTCCTGACCTTAAAGGGAAATTTGGTACACTGTAACATAATCAAATTACATTACAGTGTACCAAATGCTTACCAAGGGTAATTGAAGTTTGTTGTAGTTCTGTTTTTGGGAAAATTGAAACTGATTTGTGTTCAGAAAATTGTTATTGAAGTATTGAACCAAAACAACCATTGAAAGAGGAACTCAAATTAAATGAAATTGATTTGATTTATTTCCCACACCAAATTTGTTTACATTCTAGTTGTCTGGTCAAGGATGGGGCATACTAAAGGACATAAATCTGTAGGTAATAACTAATAAAATAAATATCCCAATATTTTTATTCATTGCTTGATTTTTTGATGTTCTGAAACAAAAACTAAACTAGCTTGAAAGGGTTTCAATTTTCTGGGATCAAACTGAACTAAATAGAAAGTATTTGTTGGTTTGGTTAATTGATCCTTTTGAGTTTTAGGATCACCCCTGCTAAACCATGTGAGATTCTTTTGTGTCTCAGTTGATAATAGTTTGTTAAGCTTTTTGTAACCAGGTGTTATGTTGCACTCTTCCTACAGAGTGGCTCCTTCACCCCCAGCATGGCAAAATCTGATCTTAATTTGTGTTTGTGTGATATTAGGTTCCAAATGCTATACAAACTCATTTCACTGTCACTGAAGCAGAAATGCATCCTGTTGTTGCTTTATCTAGGTAAAGTTTTTCTTTGTCTAATAATTCTAATCAGGATATAAAATTTAAGTCAAGTTCGCAGATTAGAATTTAACTTTATGCACTATGCTGTTCAAAAAAGCTAGAAGATGAAAAAGTTTTCCTTATGGTTGGTTCAATTCGGTTCTCTCTACATCAATTCTAGCTTATTTCTTTGTTATTAATGCTAATGGTACAAATCATTTTTGTATGCTATTAATGAGACTTTATGTAAATACATAAACGCTCACTTTTAGCACTGCTTCCATTGCCATTTCTCTGAGTTAATCCATTTTAGACATAATCTTGTTATTTTATGACCCCAAACCTGTACAAGTGCAAGCATTTAACACTATCTTAGAGGAGTTTCTAATAATTTGTTTCAATTTATTTTGGAGGATCACTGATATATGATAAAGCTTTGTGACAGACCTTCATCTTTATGATATATGTTTAAAATAGATAATTCACTGATTTTTTTGGGAAAGGGTTCATTAATCTAAAGCCAAAATGATCTTTCTTCTTTTTTTTTTTTTGGATGACATGGGTATCCAAATCTTTGGCCCAAGTAATCCATGGGTACCTACAAACTACCCATCCACAATTACCAGGTAAGGTTCCACCTTTAAGGGTGGCAGGCATGGCCATTAAGAATTGTTTGCACCCAAATGATGTTGGAGGGATTTGAACCTGCATTCTAAGCATGGTTCAAAGGACTCCTTATTAACCAGTTGAGCCAATCCCAATGGGTCAAACTGATCTTCTTGTTGATCTTTCTTTGTAGTCTCTGATTCTTGATAATCATTACTCATTGCTGAAATAAGGGAAAAGTTTTTTACATTCCTATTATTCATGTTGACCCAAAATTCATTGCTAACTTCTTTAATTCATAATGTCAACATTCCAAGAATCAAGATTACATTAAACATGTATGTACCTAGACTATGAGGCTCTAAACCACAGGAAATGAAACAATACAATTAGGTACCAAGAAAAAGAAATCCAGTTCCTCACTTTGAGTTCAATGGAACATTCTAATTTTGCCTATAATTTATATGGATTTCATTATCAAATATATGTCCTAGCAAAGATAAGAAACCTGTGCTGGAACAATCAAAAATCAATGGGAGAGAACAATTTCTTTTAGTGCCATTTTTCCCACTTCTAGAACAGCTATAAAAGCCCAACATGGTTTTCTGAAAAATGCATTTGACTTATACGAAGCTGAAGCTATAAAATTGTAGCTCCTGAAGCAGAGCTTTTCCATTAGACTTTTGAGTAATTTTATCAATTTCTAAAATTTTTAGAATTATTTACTTATATAATTTTATGATCTAACACTTCTATAAAAACTCCAGCCATGCCAAATAGGCTTTAAGTATGTTTAGAATCATGCATAACTAAATATCATACATATTAATTAGAAGGAGGGGTCCACTTATACACAAGCTTTACACATCACACTTACACAAAAGCTCAACCATTCATCTCTCTGTTTTCAATGGTTGAGATTTGTCACGACTTTTTAGATGAAAAAGATAATTATCTTTAATAAATGTGAATAAATCTCAACCATTGAGATAAATGGTTGAGATTTTACGTGTGGTGTGTAAGACTTGTGTGTAAGTGGAGCCTTACTCATTAATTAGTTATGAAGAAATATAATTATTATCATTATTCCTCCTAAGATCTTGAGCATCAAGTGGATGGAAGACTGTAAAAGTAAAAGTAGTTTGCAAAGTTCATATTCATCATGGTAATTCATGTTTCAAAGAGGCATGGTAGATATTTTGTTTTGTCATTTGAGAAGAATGAAGATGCAGTGATGATATTTCCCATATGATGGCAATGTTTGAACAAATTAATTACCGATACTGATAATTAACTTCCTTGATTTGGTTTTGTGCGCATCATATTTGCTAATCCCTTTTATTTTATGTAGTTCGATTATAAGGTTTGCTGAGCAGAGCTTGGATCCAGAAATGAGAGCTTCAATTTTCAGTCCTCGGCTTATGGAGGTAGGTAGAATATCCATTCAGTATCTTTCTTTACTGTATCATTTAACCCATAGAATCTGCTAACCCCATTTTGGATATTATTATTGACATGGAGAACATGATCAGTTGCTTGCATTTGTCTAATCTGCCACAAAGCATAACTATTCAGCACTTTTGATAAATGGAAGTTGTTTCAAATCTTTGGGCTTATTTATAGAATATGACACACCTCTTTGTACATGTTTATGTATTGTATTAACAATATCCAGTTCTGACTCTGACTTAATTGGACATTACTGTTTAAGCGCATAGTTGAGATAAATATGTATCAACTATTAAGTTCTAATGTTGTTTGTCTGACACCTTGTTAAATGTAAATAAATTCCATGTATCGTAAAGTATTTTTCTGTACATAATTCAAATTTTGAGCTTTCTCCAATAGTTGCCAATGGTGCCATCTAATGTTGTTTATTTTTCTGATACCATGCAGGCTGTTGTATGGTTTCTTGGAAGATGGTCTCATACATATCTAATGTCTCCCGAAGAAACTAAAGACATTAACTACAATTTCAGTCATAATTATGAGCATCAACATCAGTCACTGCTCTCCAGAAAAGCTTTGCTTAGTTTTTTTGGAGAACATAACCAGGGAAAAGCTGTCCTTGATATTATGGTGCGCATCTCTGTTACCACCTTGATGTCATATCCCGGGGAGAATGACTTACAGGTATAGGTTATTAAAACCTTTTTCTTGGACCACTTCCTTGGTCATTTGACATCCATAGAATGCCTATTCCACTCTTTTTTTTTTTTCCCTTGTGACTTCCATGGACAAATCTGGGTGTATACATGGGAAAAATCCTGAAGTTCATTGATTATCTAATTTTACATATACACCATGGACAAAATGTCAAGTGCCTATACAGCTCTTTTCTTTTTGTTAGGGGCTGACTTGTCACCAGTTACTTCACTCACTTGTACGGCGAAAAAATATTTGTCTTCACCTTGTTTCACTGGTGAGTTGAATACTTTTGTTATCTTTCAGATGCATCAAACATACCAGGACCCATACAATATCCAGGGAAATTAAGCATGTAACATTCTTGTTGGTAACTTTCATATATCTTGCCATATTCTTTATTATGATCACTATACAAATAGATAAATTGTTACAGAAACTCTCAACCCTATTAGCTGAAAGCTGACGGGAAAGTTTGATTAATTCTTATATGAAAAGAGTATGCAATAAAATGCAACAAAATCAGAAGCTGGTTGAAGCATGTTTCAAATGACAAATAGTTGATTGTTCACTTATTTGAAAGGATTGCTTGAGCTTGTACATCATGAAATTATATTTGCAGGATTCCTGGCGCAACCTTGCAAATGCTTTTAGTAATGAAAAGTCATTGTTCTTGTTGAATTCTGCCAATCAGGTAAGAACTTTAAATACTATAGCCCATTTTGTTGTTCCCATTGTTGCATAACTTATGATACAATTCTTCTCTGCTTCAGCGTTCACTGGCCCAAACTCTTGTTCTTTCTGCATCTGGAATAAGAAACTCAGAGGCCTCAAATCAGTGAGTATTGCATATTTTGGGCTTCTTTTCTTTTTATTTTCCTTTTCTTTGGGTAGACGTTATCCCTGTGATGGCCTAATGTCCTCTCACTCTTTCACAAAGATATATAAGGGGTCTGATGGGTCCTATGGCGACATATCTAGTGGACCTCTCTAACAAGAATGATCTCAAAAGTATTGCTCAACAACCAGATATTATCTTATCGGTAAGGATATTAAACTTCAAATGTAAAATCTAAAAATTCATAAATTGTTGCTTTCCATTTACATCAAGGATATCCTGTAGGTCAGTTGCTTGTTTGAGAGGCTCCGAGGAGCAGCCAGTGCTGCAGAACCTAGAACCCAGAGAGCCATTTATGAGATTGGCATCTCTGTAATGGACCCTGTCCTGCTTCTGATTGAAGTTTACAAACATGAGGTATTAAATGTTTCTATTTGTGCCTTTTCATAATCAATCAACCAGTTTTTACATGCATGATTTTTATCCTATAGTTCCAGTTTTGGTTATCACTTCTTTAGGCAATCATCTCAAAGCTCATAATCTCATCAAACAAAATTTACTTGTGAATAGGCAGCACTGCACAACTACTTAGGTTTGTTTCTTCAAACTTTCTTGGTAGTCAAACTAATGCGATTTTAATTACAATTACATTGTCTTTTTCTTAACGATTCCTTGTATCTTCCTCAAAAAGCCATTCAATGTTTCACTGTACCACACAATCACTTAGTTTGTGTCAATAAGCTAATTCTGCTTCATACATTTAATCTTAAATTTTTTAATAGACCATACGTTCTTCAATGCTGTTGGATTTAAAGATACTAATCTTTAATCATTGCATAGTCTGCAGTTGTTTATCTGCTGCTTAAGTTTGTTGTTAACTGGGTGGATGGACAAATATCCTACCTAGAGGCCCAGGAAACTGTGATTGTCATTGATTTCTGCATGCGTCTGCTTCAGCTGTACTCATCTCAGAATATTGGAAAGGTAATCTTCATTTGTAACTTAGGTTTTATTAACCAGTTTTGATTAATTTATTTGACAATGATGATGGACCATTCAAAACCTTCTATTCCAATTTTTTATTCTTATTTTCCAGATATCAGTAAGTCTTTCAAGCAGCTTACTTAGTGAGGCAAAGACTGAGCAGTACAAGGATTTGCGTGCTCTTCTTCAACTTCTTTCAAGTCTTTGTTCAAAAGACCTGGTATGTGCTTGTATGAGCAGTTCATCAATTCTCATTTTGGGGTCTTAAGATTTTATATGGCTAATCAGTTAATACTGTTTTTAATAAACCTTATATGGTAAGTATTACAGGTTGACTTCTCGTCAGATTCAATTGATGCACAAGGCACAAATATATCTCAGGTAAACTTAATTATCAGTATCTTCATAGGGAAATATCCACAACAGTGTCTGATGTCTTGGTCTTGCAGGTTGTTTATCTTGGTCTTCATATTGTGAACCCTCTGATATCATTGGAACTGCTGAAATACCCCAAGCTTTGTCATGATGTAAGATAACTGACCCTTTCAAGGGAATACTGGACTAACCCATTTAGTTTGCTGTGAAATCTGATTATTAGTTGTTCATTCTGCAGTATTTCTCTCTTCTATCACATATGTTGGAGGTTTATCCTGAGACGCTTGCTCAGCTAAATGGTGAAGCCTTTGGTCATGTCCTTGGGACTCTTGACTTTGGTCTTCACCATCAGGTAAGCTGCATTTTAAGAAAAAAAAAAAAATTGGAGTATTATTATGAAAGAAAGACTTCATTGAGAATGATGAGAAGAATTGTGCGCCATGCAAGTAATTGTTCACAAGTATTGCCTACATGTCTGCTTACTAAGGATAGCTAGCATCTGATTGAAATAAGAAAAGAAATTGGTTCTTACAATGTAGCAATGTATCCTCTTTAACAATATCCCATAACATTGAATTTCTGACTTCAGTGGTTTGAAAATCTATCTCCCAACTTTTTGGTTCCTGATGGTGTAGGACCCAGAAGTAGTCAACATGTGCCTGGGAGCTCTGAAAGCTCTCTCTGCTTACCACTATAGGGAGATGGCTGCTGGTAAACAAGGCTTGGGTTCACATGCTGCTGGAAATGGAAATTTGCAGGAGGGAATTTTGAGCCGGTTTCTTCGTTCATTATTACAGTTGCTCCTTTTTGAGGATTATAGGTATATAATAAAAATTTCCAAAAAAACATATTAACCATGGCAAAGCCATGCAAAACTGTGCATGAGAGATCCCCTTTTATTTTTCTTTTATTTTTCTTTTGTTTTTCTTTTATTTTTTTTGTACTTCACATTGTTTCCTTGGGATTTCAGTCCAGATCTGGTCGGTGCTGCAGCTGATGCTCTTCTTCCATTGATTCTTTGTGAGCAAGGCCTATACCAGGTTGAAAATGATTACTTCTCTTTTGTTAAGTAAATATTATGTACAGCATACATAGGCATCAGAGCATTCACTTAATTATTCTTGTCATGTTAAGAGGGGAGAATGTCTCCAGTGTTGAATTGAAAGGATCATTTGGTACGGGTACTGACAAAAATAAAAAATAGAAATAATTAGGCATCATTAGGTAGTTTGTCCATCATCCCCTTCCCTAAAATTTGAAATCATAAGACAGCCAATAGGAAAAATTTTCAAGAATTTTGCTGCATGTGACCGCACGAATATGAATATCTTCTAATTGCACATTACACTTTTTGCAGAGATTGGGTAATGAGTTGATTGAGAGGCAAGTGAATCCTACCCTCAAATCAAGGCTGATGAACGCATTGCAGTCTCTCACAACCGCAAATCACGTCTCTTATACCCTAGACCGTGTGAACTACAAGAGATTCCGGAAAAACCTAAACAATTTTTTGATAGAAGTTCGTGGATTTTTGCGGACAATGTGATGCAATACATATTGTGTGATGGTGCAAAACTACTGTCTCGTTCTTTGTATAACAGTACATAAAAGTTTTGTCATCTCATTCTTGGGAGGTGGGAGTGGGAGTGGAAATCCCATCTCGATAATCATTTTATCAGTCTGACGTTTGTGAATATTACAATCATTGAATAGAAGAGAGGATGTAGAGAGTGAATGATCTATCTGATTGAATCATTGATAGCACCATAGCTCAAGAAATGCAGTATATGCAGAGATTATGACAGATTGAGAGTTAAATAAGACAATGAATGGTTGATTTTTGGCCTTCTTTTGCTCTCTCAGCCCCAGTAACCTTTGGCTCTTTGAGCCCCAGTAACCAGACTTTAGCACTCCGAACGGGGTTATATATGGGTAAGTCTGACTTCTGATTGACATGGTGAGTAAAATCTTGTTATTTTAATTCGAGCAATTCTACGAGCACAATAATTTTTTATTACAATGCTTTATATAGAATGATGTAACATTATTTTTGGTACATTCAATTATAGGCTATATAAGGGATGGTAGTTTTTTTTTTTTTTTTTTGTAATTATTTTTTCTTAACTTAAATTTTAATTTTAAAATATTTAATTTAAAATCTCAAGTTTTGAATTAGTTAAGTTACTTGGCATATGGTATAATTAACATTAAATTGATGAGTGCATATTGATTTCATGATCTGAATAAGTGATGATAAAATATTAATATTTTTTTATTATATTGTACAAACTATTGTAAAAACATCTATCATTTTGTATTCATTCATTCATTGCCTCTGGCTTCTTATTACCGGATACCTTATACCTTTTTAATCATTCTTTCTGCATGATATTGATATGGTGTCAAGGGAAATTTGCTAACCAATTCCAATTTTATAATGCTTGCTTCCCCTAGCAGGCTGATTGAAGGCCTATCCAATGTGACCTGTGTCACGGTAGTCTTCGGTTTTTTCATCAGAGATGCTATACGCACAATATTCATGCATCAGCTGTCACGTTAAGTTATGCATGGCGATGATATTGTATGGGAAAACAATGTACAAACACTATACGTGTAGCTATTCTGCTCTTTAACTCTAAATTCCAAATCTCCGTAAGACTCTTCTTCCACTAACTATTTTCAATATTCATACTGCCCCCTGTTCTGTAAATGTGGGATTCTGAGATGGTAACCAGATTTTATGTTGCTTTTTTTTTTCGATAGATGAAGAAATTCATTTAAGAAACACGAAAACAACATCATGAGAAAAAACAAGTGATTTTTTTTTTTGTTAGGTCTATTATGATTTTCAATTAGGTCTGTGTCACAAGAGGGGTATTTAAGGGCTCCGATTTCCGAGAAAAAAATTTAAAAGGCTACAATTCAGTTCTTTTTTTTTTTTTTTTTTTGGTAGAAGCAATTCAGTTCTTTAGGTTGCCCAGAAAATTGATATCTTTGTTTTCTGTTCTCTTTATACCGACTCAAATTCTCTCTGGTAATCACTTATCTTCTGCGAGAATATACGCAGAATCCCTACTTTCAACTTGAATGCTCCTTATTTTCTCTCAATTCTCCTATTACTGGTATCACTTCTGATCCCACTAACGTCTTCCCTGTTTTCAGTCTCCAGTGCGGACCAACTCCACCTCAGGTTTCTCGCTTAATTCCAGTCTCTGCCTTCCCTCGTTTTCCACCTCCGGTGCCGACGAACTATACCTCAGGTTTCGGTCCTCCACTTGCATTCCTACAATGGAGGTAATTGCTTTTCATTACTTTTTATTTCTTAACCAATTTGCTTGAAGATGTTAAAGTTCATGTATATTCTACTAGTTCGATCCTGTAACTTCGTTAATTGGATCGTTTTCTAAAGTTTCCGAACTTGAATTTTGCTTGTAAAAGCTTTCTAATTTGCTTTACATTCTGTGTTCTTTTGACAATATTTGCTTTTTTTACAGGATACCGAAGCTAAACCTCCTGAAATTGAAAGTAGCTCTGTAAAAGATGATCAACAAGAGTTGGGAGAAACTTCAAATCCTGTTTCGGTTACTCCTCCGGAATCGGGTATGGTTTTCAACTCTGAGAAGGAGCTGCATGATTATTTCAATTTGTATGCTCACCATATAGGGTTTGGTATAGTTAAGAAAAGTGTGAAGAATGGAGATGACGGTCAGCTAAAATATTATGCACTCACGTGTTCTAAATACGGGAAGAGGAGGATGAATGTGGAGAATGCTTTGAATCTTAAGCCATCAACTAAAACTGGATGCAAGGCTAAGATTAATGTGAAGGTAAGTAATGAAGGAAGTTTCATCATCTCTGGAGTTTATTTGGAGCATAATCATCAACTTAGTCCAAGGAAATCGCAGTCCTCTGGATGCAAGAAGAAGGTGAATTCATATGTAAAAAAACGTCTGGGAGTGAATGATCAAGCTGGGATTTCATTAAATAAAGATGTTCCCTCACTGGTTGTTGAGACTGGAGGATATGAGAATCTGCTGTTTACTGTGAAAGACCCTAGAAATTATATTGGCAGAGCAAGACAATTTAGACTTGGGCCTGATGATGTGGAAGCACTTAGTAATTATTTTGTTCGCATGCAAAAGAGGAATTCAAATTTCTTTTATGCAATTGATACAGATGAGGAAGGTCACTGGAGAAATGTATTTTGGGCTGATGCAAGGTCAATAGCAGCATATGAGTCTTTTGGTGATGTTATATCATTTGACTCAACATATTTGACTGACAGATATGACATGCCACTTGCACTATTTGTTGGTGTGAACCATCATGGACAAACATTGCTATTTGGATGCAGTTTGCTATCAAATGACGATACAAAGAGTTATATCTGGTTGTTTAGCTCATGGTTGGAATGTATGTCAGGTTGTCATCCCAAAGCTATTATTACAAATCAATGTAAGGCTATCCAAGCAGCTGTTGCAAAAGTGTTTCCACATTCTCATCATCGACTTTGTCTTTGGCACATAATGAGAAAGATTCCAGAAAAACTTGGAGGGCTGGCTCAATACAAAGAAGTGGAGAAAATTTTGAAAAGGGCAGTTTATGAGTCCATTGAAGTTGGTGAATTTGAAGAAACATGGAGTAAAATGATTAAGGAGTATGGCCTAGAAAAGAATGAGTGGCTGAATTCATTATATGATGAGCGGCATCATTGGGTTCCTGTGTACATTAAAAATAGTTTTTGGGCAGGAATGTCTATTTCTCAAAGAAGTGAGAGTGTAGATGCTTTTTTTAATGGTTATGTGGGTTCAAAATCATCTTTGAAGCAATTTTTAGAGCAATATGATACTGCTTTGAAGAGTAAGATAGAAAATGAGAGTAAGGCAGATTTTGCTTCTTTTCACTCTATTATTCCAGTGATATTTGATTGTTATTATGAGAAGCAATTTCAGGAGGTATATACTAATGACATTTTTAGATTGTTTCAAGAAGAGATGCGAGGCATGCTTTATTGTAATTTAGTCCTAAATGAGGTTGATGAATCAATATCAAAACACCATGTGAAAGAAGTTTTTATAGGAAAAAACGGCAAATATAGAAGGCAAGTGACTTATGATGTTTGTTTCAATGAGATTGAAGGTGAAAGTAAATGTTCCTGCTGCTTGTTTGAATTCAAGGGGATTCTTTGTCGGCATTTGATGAAGGTTCTAATTGAGAAAAACGTGAAAGAAGTTCCATGTCAATATATCTTAGACCGTTGGAGAAAGGATATTAAGCATAGATACACTTTGATTAAGAACTGCTATGATGATTTCCAATCTAATGAGCAAAAATTGAGATATGATAAGCTGTGTTCTCACTTCTACAGAGTTGCAGAGATTGGAGCTATATCAACTGAAAATTATGATTTTTTTGTTAGAACTATTGATGAGGCAATGGACAAACTTATGAATCAATCGGTTTCTAAGAGCATTAATCTTAATCATGCAAACATGGAGCCAATGCAAGAGGGCAGTGAAGAACTTCAGCAAGCAGCAGATGGCAATAATAGGTCGCAAACTCATTTGAATGTTCAAGCAAAGAAAAAGGTACTTGTAATATTTTCATAAAGAAAGTGTGTACTACATAATATTCTGATTTCTAATGACATTTATTTTCATTTTTGTTTAGGTCATCCAAGAGCAAAAAAATGAAGAATCTCAAATTGATTTGCAGCCATCAAAGAAGAAAAGGGTAATTATACATTACTATGCCATTGATATGAAGCACATATGCATATGTGCTGAAGTTGATTTACAACATGCCTTTGCTGGTTCATCAGAAGGCAGGAACGTTTTCTAGTAGCTTGACCATGTTATAACTTCTTGATGAGTTTAGAACCCAGAAAAGTTGAGTGGTAAAAGTTTTAAAAAGATAATTTTCACTTTTAATTGTTATGATATGAGAACTAGTTCATTTATTTATCTATTAACTATTTCAGGTGAATCCAGATGACAATGGGTTAATAAATAATTTTGTTATGCACAATCAGAACATGGGTCATTTATCAGAGGTTATATTTTTAAATCTTTATTTAAATACCACTGGTTGTGTGAAATTTAAACGGGTATATATTATATCTGCTCATTTGATATGTTCATTTCTTTGTTTGTAGAGTTATGGAAAGGATTTCTTGATCAATGGTTCTTTTCTGATCGCAGAACAGTGTATGTAACATCCCTGTCCTTGATTGCGTAATAGTATAATTAGTGTTCTTAGCAGTCAATTATTGAGGACTTTTTGTGGTTAAAATGAAAGTTAATTGGTTGCTTGGTTAGCTTTATGAATGTTTACTTTTAAGGTGTATACATGCCAATAGATGTCCCACACTTTTAGATTCAGTGGAATGCCTTGAATCCCCCTAAGCCTTGTCTTTGGTTTAGACTATTGTTCCTTGAACTTAAAAGCCAAAACCTAAGTTTCTTTCTCATTTTGCTAGACAAGAGAAAGAAGGAAGGAAGAGAGGATTCTGCAATGCAGCAGAATAATAGGACTTGAAGACCTTGGTGAGTTTCGGCAAGTCCACTGTGGCTACCATGCTTGCATGTGTAAGTTTTGGTTTTATTCCAAATCTATAAATGAAGAGAAATTTGGTAACGTGCAATTAAATAAAAGCAGCCTATAGATAAAATAAGTGTAATGAACTGATTTGAGACTTACAGATGTTCTGTGTGTTGCTACATGAGTTAACTGGAAAGGCAGCCAAAGTTATGCGGCTAAGTTCCTTGCTGACATGTTATGACTATTGTGTTATATATAATTATCTAAACTAAGTTTTTGAGGATGCAAATAGAACTGATTCTTATGTTCTAAATAACATGAGTTATTGTCATTTAAGTTCTGTTAGAAGTACTCAAGCAATGCTATTTGCCATGCTATTGAGTATTGAATTGAAGTCTATAGAGGTTATTGGCCTATGCAAATAGCTACGTGCTTATTGTAGTCATATTGAGAAACTATTCTATATTTATTGACCATTACATAGTTGGATAAATGCTTTGGCTGGTCCTGGACTCCTGGCATAATATGAGCGTACGCATATTGATGACAACATTGCCATTGTTATAAGTTAGTGCTGACCTACTGTTAAGTGTATTGTTAGAAGTTAGTGCTGGCCTATTGTTAAGTATCTTGCTTTACAGCTTATTGCCGTTGACTTATTGTTTAAGAGCATTTCTGTGAAGTTTGCAACTAATTAAACTAGTTGAGTTATGCTTATGGTCTTTCATGGAATTGGTTTGGCACTCATTTGCCTCGTAGCTTCAATTAACCTACATGTTATTGATTGATCAATCTGACAAATTGAATTTCAGTCGTAGCTTAGTCTATGGCATCTACTTTTATTGAGCTTTAGCTTATTAATGGTTTCACCTTTTCAGATTAGCCGTAAGCTTAGAGAGATGCAGAGGAGTGTTTTGGAGGCCTAGGAGCATCTATGGTCCATTGTAAGCCCTGGTGCCTAAGACCTGGTATGACAAACTTGTTCTCTGCCAAAAACAGTGGTTTTGTAAGGTTTCCAAGGCGCGTGTGTTTTGGATAAACTCCAACAGGACCTCATGATAAAATTACTAATGTATATTTTGTATATTTTGCAATGAACTCTTCTGCTGAGCTGTATGTATAACTGGACCATTTGGACTTAAATCTATGAAATCTTTCTAACCCATCTACTTTGCTAAAATATTCAGCTTTTACCTTTGTATGCGGGGAGTCTTTCAGAAATTAAAATTCTCAACTCTTATCTGCAATGATTTCAAAATCTTATGAGTTCTATGCTACGGTTTTACTGAATAACATTTGTGAATATAGCTTTTAAATTGAGATTTTATTTTAAGTTACGATTCATACGTTGCCACTCCCTAGGATGGTGCAGGTTAGGTCGTGTGTGACGTTGTAATTTGTATTTTACTCTTCTACCACAAAATTAAAGTCCAACTCTCAAATATTGTAACATTACTGATGTAGGGGAAACTCCCAGGGAAGTGTTCAATTAACCTCTCCTTAGTAAGCCCTTTTTCCCGCTATGGTTAATATTATTATTTGATGATAAATTAAAAATATATATAATTAATAATAATAATTAAAAAATAAAAAATAAAAAAAATAACCATGCTTATCCTTTTTTCAAGTCTCTCCTCACCTGAAGTCAAAATTCTTCTTGATTTAGGGTAGTTTTTCCATCTCAAAAAAGGAGACTAGAAAATTGAACCTCACATTCAGTGGGTCTCGGTGGGGCTCAGCTGTTTTGTGGTTCAGCCAGGATTCTCCACTTTAATATAAAAAAATAAAATAAAATAAAATAAAAATTGAAACATAGATACTGAAATAACATGAACAGAACGCTCAGAGAAAATCAATGGGTGTCGAGAGATTCATCAGCACATTATCTCCAGAGAGGTGCGACATTCTCTAATTACTCATCCCATTCAGTAGATCCATTATCCATCTCCAATACATCTATATTTACAATCCACGCATTACGGAAAAGGCAAAGCAAGAAGAAACATTAAAGAATATTGAGATATAGAGACCAAAACAGAAAGCAATGCTCGGTGAGGAAGTACTGATCAGTTGAGAGACAAGATTGAAAAAGGGAAAAAATAGAACAGCAGATGAGCTTTTTGAAATTTTTAAATTTATTTAAGTAATTAACTTCTTATACAGTAATAATGTTGCAAATGAAGTGATAAGGAAGATTTAATGGTACAAAGTACAACCCATATTTTGTTTGGGAACAGTTAATTGCTCCAGTCGACCCCTAAGGAAAAGGAGAAAATAAAAAGAATAGGAAACCACACACGTTTTTCAACTCACTTGTGCAGTATTCCCTTCTTTGAAGGCTTTGGTTTCTTTTGATTATGGTTCTGCAAAAATGTCAAAAAATTGTATCTCTGTTAGCAGGTAACAAAAGACAGGTAAAAGTTTTAACAGAAATATGATAAATGTGTACCTTCTGCCTTTCAAGGGCCTCATAGTTTGTTCTATCCTTCCAATTGCTTTTGCGTAGTTTGATAGGCCGATTGCCAACGTATTTACCTAGCATCATGTGAACAAGAACGATTCATTATCACTTTTTCCCAAAGATGATATCCTCTTTTTCTTGTTTTGTTGAAATCAACATCAAACTTATTCTTTCAATTGATACTCATCAAGGGTCATTGAATGCAAGTAAAGATAGCTGACAGAGGAGATCATCCGCGTACTCTTTCAAGTACTAACAAGAGGTTTTCATAAAAGGGCTGCTTCAAACATAGTGCAACAGCAAAGATTGGGGTACCCTTTTTTTTCCAGACAGATGGATGAAAAACACAGATCTTAAGTTCAAACCATCCATGACTATCAAAGTTTAAAAATTATCCAAAAACATTATGCAGATGGCAAAGAAAAGAATAAGAATAAGAAGAATAATAATAACAATACGAATAATAACTGTCAGAAGTATTTACCATTCATCTCCTTGAGAGCTGCAGCAATGTCCGACAGATTAGCAAAGCTAACAAATCCATAGCCCTTGGTTTTGCCAGTCCGCTTATCTCTAACAACCTAGTAAGAAAATAAAGTGCATGCACAAAATATTCTTAACATATACCAAGAAGAAAGCAACAATACTACGAATGAAATAACAGTCATCACTCGATAAAAAAAACATCTACAGAGAAGGAAGCACAAGAAAAAATATATGCCTAGACAACTGACAAGTTCAAAGCATTTAAACACATTGCCTAGGGCCCAAAAACTCAACAGACAAATAAAATTAGAACATTTAATATATTGTCTAGCTACTATCACCCTAAATGTAAAAGTTCCAACCACCAATTGCTCCAAACAATATTGATATACAAAACTCTTTCAATGAGGCAGATGTATACAATACTCAATCAGCTTAAGAACTCTATCCATATTGAGGGAGATAGAGAAAGGAAGAGACTAATAAATAGTTTATCACAGCCAAATAAGCTGAATAATCTAAAAACTGATAAAATTTTAACCTAATGTGGCAAAGGTAATGGCCCTAATGTCCAAACCAACTTAAAATATTACAATACCTTGCACCTACTTGTTCATAACAACTCAGCTCATGCTAGTCAACGAGTAAGGGGAATCAGGTCAAATATACAGGAATCTAGCTCTCCATATGCCAATTTCAGCCTACTAACTAGAAAACTCTCATATTCAGAAAAACAAGGACCTCAAAAAGACCACAGTTTGGAAACTGTTGCAGCCCTATTGCAGAAAATAAACTATTGCAACTAATTTGCCCTTTCACAATTTTGACAGAATTGATGAGTATGTGAAACCAAGATAGAATCAACTACTTCATAAATTTGCAGGGTCAAGACAAATCCTACCTTAAAGAAAACATAAAATCATAATGCTCTGTTTGCTTCATACAAATATCTGAAGAGAAAATATGGACAATTCATACAAAAATGAAAAAATTGCTAATACCAAGAGAACTGAGAACTGAGAAAGTCAAGTTAAAAGAGAACTTACTCTAGCCATATTAAAGGAAGGAAATCGTGAAAAAGCTTTGGAAAGAACATCATCATTCACCTCATTACCAAGATCTCCACAAAATAGCCGAAAATCATCTGAAGAATGCCAACAGAATTAAAATATGTAAAAGGCAGGTCTAGTGAAGGTAGAAGAACGCAACACTATAGGAAATGACTCTAAACCATAAAAAGAGCACCAATTAAGTAAAAATAAGTGAAGCAATTGCTTTTGGAAGTGGACTTTTGGAGTTCAGAAGCTTACGCTCTAATAATATGTATTACACCAAAAGTCTGAATGCAAGGTCCAACTTATGTCCAAAAGTACTTTATTCTACATGTTATAACTATCTAATAAGAGGCACAGTTAAAGAGAGACAAAAACAAGAAAGGAAAGAGACAGTTCTTACTTTCTGGCCAATCTGCAAGGGTTGGATCCTCCCATGATTGACCTGCAGCTTTACGAGGGATTGCTTTCTTTTTAGTTTCTGCCTTGTGCTCAATCTCACTACTAGCAAGTGCAGCTTTTACGCTCTCTAATGCTTCAGGAGTAACTATCTGAGCATCCCTTTGAAATAATTGTTGTGCCTGTTCAAATAGACTACAAAATTACCCAGATGAAGCATGCACAAAAAATTATTGCTAATAAGGAGAAATAAGCAACATCGGTATGCAAAGATATATCCAGAATCCCTTTGAAAAGCAAAACCCAATAAATTCAAACTTTAGTTAGATGATTCTGGTTCACAATAACCACAATGCCCCACAACCCCTTTCGAAAACACTTAAAGCTGCATCTAAACTACAAAAAAATCGTTAAAAAAAACAACCCAATTAATTCCTAATTCCCGAACCAGTTAAGTCACCAAGTGCAACACGCCATCATCCATAACTATTTAAACAAGCTAATTGGAGCTTATAACAGATAGCAGTGTTTCACTCCATATTGGTCCGATTTAACAAGAATATTTTTCAAAGATTAACGCTAAATTAAGTTTAACACAAACAATAAACCCAATAAACATTAGAAATATCCGATACCTAAAAACAAAGTCCTATTCTGTCAAACACAATAACAAAACCTAATCATCCCTTGAATTGAATACGTGCATTTTCATACATATATACCATAAACGTCGAATACAATAACATACACAAATACACGCACATAGCAATCGAAGAACCCAACAATTTCTAACACTGAATGTAATAATTGTATATGCATATAATTATGCTAACCTGCTGATATTGAGGAAGGGAGTACACACCAGCAACAGGGGCCACCGGCGCGGGGTAAACGGGGGCACCAGGTCCAATGGGCACGGGCTGGGCCGGCGCCACGTAGGGCTGGGGCTGTTGCTGCAGATGAAACGGCATGGGGAAGTAGGACGGAGTGGTAGTCGTTTGGTAGGTGAACTGCGAGGAGGAAGAGGAAGGAGTGGTGGCTGAAGCTGGTGGGATCGACATGGGGAGAGAGAGGGAAAACGGGGCTGGAACTGATGAATTTGGGTTAGGGTTACAGAGAAGCTGTTTTGCAGAGAAAGCGAATTTGGATTTGCGATTTTGGGAGATTTGCAGATTTGGATTTGGAAAAGTGGAGATTGGCCTAATTGAAAAGTAGAGTTTCTTGGACTTTTAAGGAAAAGGTGAATAGTAATTAACGGCCCAAATCTTAAGCCCAATCCACCTTTTAATGGAAACTTGAAAAAGGCAGAATTGAGAATCCTACTAATTTTATTAGCCAATCGAAACTACTGAAAGAGATAATTGTTTT